GTTGTAAGCTGCCTGTTTACCTTGAATTCACCAGGGCTGTAATACTTTTGCTGATAATGCTGCCAAGCCATAATGCACACATTTTGGCAACTAAAACTAATTTCTGAATTCGCAGGGATCAAAGACTATTTCTCAGACAAGGGAAACCCAGACTGGGATTCCCTTTGATCTAGTTTAGTTTAGGCCCGGTGTAAAATGACTATATCAGAAATAGAAAAGAGACTAAAATGGACTAAAGCTAAGTCTAAATTCTTATGTGCTGTTCCTATTGTATAGTACTCACTTGTGAACAATTTCAACAATGTTTTGGGTTTTTTTTCAGTAAGGATACCAAGCACTGGCTAATAAGCCAGTTCCCTACAAGTGCTCCCTTAATTACTTTGAAAACATACAGTAACAAGATGTGCCTTGGAGTTATTACATAAAATTAAGAATGAATTTTACCGGAGATTTTCTGTTTCAAAACTCTAAATGAAGTCTGTTTGGCTATTATGTTGTAATGTAAACCAGGGCCATGAAGAAGGAAAGTTCTCATCTCATTTACATTATTGTAAAGCAAGAGTAACTCAATTAAAGTCAATAGCTTTGAACTTCCTTAAACAAGACAAGACCTATAAGGGATTACAGGGTTGTTTTAAGCATGCCTAGTTTAAAAAAAAAAAGTCTGATTAGGTTTTGCTTACATGGCCTGCAAGAATCCAAACTACTGCCTCACTTTGCTGCTACTAGATTCTTTTTGGGCACAACTTAGCACAACTCTATGTAGTATTTAAAATGCCAATATCTAATTTCTCCTCATGTTTCTTCCTCATCACACCACTCTGTCCTCCCTACCACCCCCCCCCCCCCCAAAAAAAAGCTAATATGGATATTAATTGCAAAGTCACTCAGCAAACACAGAAGTTTTCACTCACATATCCAGATTCAGACTGGAGGCAGCAGGGTAATCTAATTTCCTGTATATCATACCCACAGAATGTGAATCAAATTTTTCTTGGGACCATAACTCAGGTTTGACTAAAGCAAGTCTTTCTGAAACACATCAGGCCTAACATGAAAGCCTTAGAGAGGGAATCAGTCATGTCCCTCATGACTTCACTCTGGCTTAGAACTGCCCTCATTTTAAAGAAATTTTGATCACAAGTTTGTTTATATTCAGTTAATCATGTTCTTCCCTGCTCAGCTTAAGAGCCTGAAGAGCCTTTGTCCCTACAGAAATACTAAGATTTTACAAAACCATCTTCTAATATTTTTTTTTAATTTATTTTTTTTATTATTATTTCCGTACCCTAAGGATGTCTGAGCTCCTTAAGACTCTCACTGTTGAGCTTTTTTAGTCCTCGACACTTTGGAAAGGCTCTCCTCTACCTTTGGTCCTTTATTTTAATATTGATATTAAAGATGCATACTGTATGCCTGTATCATCTCTCTGCTGCCACAGAGAAACAGGAATACTTCATTCCTGTGGCTCCTCTGTTTGGTTAAAATGTATAGGACAATATCCAGTTGACATGGGGGTACAACTGGCTGTTTGCCTGGCTGCCTCCTGCATCAGGCATAAGCTTTTCTGGGGATATGTTAAAAATTTAGCTTGGATAATGGGATGCATTTGCTCAAAATCTGAAATCAGGAACATGAAATGCTGAACACTGAAAGGAGCAAAAAAATGAAGGCTACAGTGTTTGTCTGAATGCAGAATCTGTTCTGCCATCATGATGGCATCAAGACGAAGAAGAGCCTGCAGAAGTGGTGCTTGCCTCAAAGATAGGAAAACTGACATTAAAACTGACATGACTGATACTAAGAAATATCAGCTAGCCAGACCTCTAGCTCTCCTTTACAACATGAACTTCTCAGTAAATCTGGGCCAGGGAGACACAGGATAAGCACTGTCACAGTTATTTTGTCAGTTGTTAAGGCTGAAAATTAATTAAATGTGTAACTAACCCAAAAGGTAAAATATCCCTTCATCTTGGAAAAGAGCTCTCATTGATAGTGCCAAAGTCAAGATAGGTCACCTAGACAATTTCAGATATACACAGAATCATAAAATTGTTAATTGGAAGAGACCTCCAACAGAATTGGAAAATACCTCCAGGATCATCAAGCCCACCTGTCAACGCAGCATCACCACCATGTTCACCACTAAACCATGTCTTCACAAGTTCCACATCTGCATGTTTTTGAACTCTTCCAGGGATGGTGATTCTACTACTCCCCTGGGCAGTCTGTTCCAATGCTTGACAACCATTTCTGTGAAAAAGTTTTTCCTAGTTTCTAATCTAAGTCTCCCTTGGCACAACTTGTAGTCATATCCTTTCATCCTGTCACTTATTACCTGGGAGAAGAGACCAAGCTCCATCTCACTACAGCCTCCTTTCAGGTGATCATAGGGAGAAATAAGGTTCTCCCTGAGCTTCCTTTCCTCCAGGCTAAACACCCCCAAGCTCCCTCAGCTGCTCCTCATAGCACTTACTCTCCAGACCCTTCACCAGCTCCACTGCCCCTCTCTGGACCTGCTCCAGCCCCTCAGTGTCTTTCTGGTACTGATGGGCCCAGAACAGAGCACAGGTTTGAGGTGTGGCCTCATCAGTGCCGAGTACAGGGGGACAATCACTGCCCTGGTCCTGCTGGCCACACTGTTCCTGATACAGGCCAGGGTGCCATTGGCCTTCTTGGCCACCTGGGCACAGCTGGCTCATGTTCAGCTGCTGTAGATCAGCTCTCTCAGATACTCTTCTGCCAGGCAACTCTCCAGTCACTCATCCCCCAGCCTAAAGCACGGCCCGGGGCTGTTGTGATCCAAGTGCAAGATCTGGCACTTGACCTTGCTGAACCTCACACAATGGCATTGGCCCATCGATTCAGCCAGCCCAGATCCCTCTTGCCCTTCTGCAGGTCAATGCTCCCACACAACATGGTGTCATTTGCAAACTTGATAAGGGGGCACACAATCCCCCTGTCCAGGTTGTTGAAGATGATATTAAACAGGGCTGGCTCCAATACTGAGCCCTAGGGAACACCACTTGTGTCTAGCCACCAGCCACCCTCTGGGTCCAGCCGTTTTTTACCCAGCAAAGAATACATCTGTTCACACCATCAGAAGCCAGTTCCTGAAGAGAGAACTCAAGATATTCCTCACCTTGGGACTCTTGGAAATCAGGGCTCACTGCACAGAGACAGCTTCCCAACTCCACAAAACCATATGAAATATGTACTGATAAAGTTTTTATATAAATATCAAAAATTCCCTGAAATTAACTTTTAAAAAAACTTAAATGGTCCCATCATGGCCTGCTGGGTTGCAAAAGTTTGACACATGTTCTTTGGGGTACATGCTTAGTCTAGCTGAGGCACATGGAAAATTAAACCAGAGCAGTTATCTGAATTTAATAATGGCTGTGGGCAGGCAGAGCATTTGGGTGGTAGCAGTCTTTTGCCTTACCAAGGACAGCCTGCTAAAAGATTTAATTTTCCCCTTGCAATTGGGCTGCTGACATTGGAGTGGAAAATAAATCAATGTGATGACTGTGTGAAGAGCTGGACAGTGAAAAATTCTACCAGAAAGGCCTCTATTGAAAGCTGAGAAATACACAAAGCTTGGGGAACATTAGAAAGCAAGCCTGCTGGTTTATAGAAGTGCAGTGGGGGCATACATCTCTGGTCTCTACAACATTGGTTATATTAAGCTTTATTTTAAGAGTGATGATTACATTGGCTGTGTTTCAGTCCCAGTGCCAAAGATGCCAAATAAATATCAAATACTCTCCAGGGTTTCCCACCACCCCTACCCACTGCATTTGAACCATGCAAATTAGACAGAATTGACATTGGAATGCTTAAGTCTGGGAGGGAACGATGTATTTCCCATCCTTGGGGCATTTTTCATCCTGTTTATATGAATACAGACATGCCAGGCATACAGCACTAATTCAATGGGTTACAGAATATTCAGCAAGCAGGCACACATACAAGTCCCTGGCCTGATTTGTAAGGTCTAAATAAATTAAGTTAAAACCATATGAATTCACAAGTCCATACTGAAGCCAAGGGACACAGCCATGCCACCCAGGACCTTGAGTAGTCTTGAACAGTTAAAAGATGGCGCTGGCTCCTTCTCCATTATGAAAGAGGAAAGCAGGGGATCAACATTACTTGCCAACACATTGGAGGAATACCCACAGAAATAAGGTATGTGCAGAAGCACTTCCATCTCCAGACCCCTGTGAACATGAGCACATATCAGTCATTGCACATCCCTGCAAGCTGCCCCAGCACTGACTACTTTTATAGCCAGGCAAACCCAGAACCACAGAAGCCTTGCCTAGCTGAGGCAGGGTAGCACTTTTTAAATCCATCACGGCTCCTTCACAAGGGCTTGTCCCGAGGCAGCGCTGCAGGGATCTGCTGTTACCAAGCAGGAGGGGGAGACACAGCCTCAGCTTTCCTCCAGTTCCACAGGAACACAGACTTCTGTCCACCTCCTGCAACAGGCCTGACCTGTTGCTCCTTCCAAAACGGGTGGATGCTCAGCTGGTCAGAGGGGAGTGCCATGAAAAACAGCTCCTCTCCTCATCGGCAGGCTGGCTGCAGCCTCACAGCAAAGCCACTGCCCTGCTCCTGCCAAGAATTTGGTTCACATTCTTCACTCCCTGTGGTAGCCACTAGGCCACACGGTCTCCTTCAATCCATTTGCATTTTATTAGGTCTTTTCATGCACCAAGGGACAAAAGAACAAGCCACTTCCTCCCACTGAGCTCTCATTTCACACTTCAAATGGGCTATACTAACCTTTATGGCGGAGCAGCTGCCAGGGAGGAGGGGCAGGAGGAGGAGAGCAGCACCAGGATGACAGGACAAAGCAGCCTCAGATCCTCTCTCAGCAGCCCAGAGGAACCCAAATCAGTCACAACACCACCTTTCCCACCTGCCCCCACCTCAGGGGCACCCAGAGCTCTGCAGCCACCTGGGTGGCATTCAGCCATGCTTTCTGGACTCACCTCCCACCCCCAGTAGGTGCTGCTGAGTTAATAGCCTGTACCATGTCCGTAGTCAGAGCATCAAGTAAGCTGGTAATAAATTCAATTTTCTTCCCTTCTGGGCAGCCTGCAGAAAGAAAAGAGGAGATTTAAAGCAAGAACACACAGGCTTACTCTCCTACCCCAATTCAGCAAGGACCAGTCAGAAACTCCTTTGTTTTTAAGACAGCAACAATCATCAACACAGCCCCTAAGGAAAGGAAGAAGAATCCCTCAGTGGGTTTCTATGCGTGGCAATTTGTCCTGCAGCTTTTATCCAGACACATGCAGGGTCATCAACAATATCTGGCAAGAAGTCTGTGTGGTTAGCTTTATGGTCTCACCCAGTTCTCTACCAGCAAAACCGCAGGGATGCGCTGGAAGTGCCTGGCAGGCAAGAGTTCCCATGGCGACACTTGCAGAGAAGTTTACAAAACAATTCATTACCTCCTGGATCATCTTCTGAGGCAAATGTGGCTGTTCTGAGGCCCTAATTGACGGATTAAAGTATCCGAGAGCACAAGGCAATGTCTGCTGCTTGCACTTTCCTCTTCAGGCGCAACAAGCATTGACTGCCAGCACCTACCACAATAATTCATTCTTTGCATGATTGCTCTACATAGGAAATACGTCAAACTGAATTGGTATGTGGTACTGTCACCCCCAGTCACTGCTGGCTTAAGCAGGACAAAGTGGGTTGAAGATGAGCTTGGTAACCATTTCCATCAGTGCTGAGACTGTCTAGCTTCCCACCTTCATAACCAGAGTGACAGAGCCTCCTATCCAAAACAGTGCCAGCCTGTTACAATGAAACTCTCCATCTCCTCACCTTTAAAAGGCAATCTATGCTGTTTCCTTGCTGCTTAAAGTAAGCTTCCTTTACTACCCCATGAACACTGTGATAACTGTTCTAACTTGGAACAAGGTAAGGAACAAGGAACCAAGAACAGGTGTGCTTAACTTGAACACCATTACCAGGATGACATTACACCATCAAAACTGTTGTCCAAAACCCATCACCTCCCATCCAACTGTTTCTCTTGATGTGACAGGGAAGCCATCACCACATCCCTCATCTCTTTATTAAAACCACCATGCACTACCAATTTTTCAGCTGATTAGGGCAGCAGACGTCAGCAAACAGCCTCCCACAGCACCACTGAGCAACGTCTATACTTTCTGCTTTTCTTGAACAAGCAAAGAAGAACATGTACCACAAATAGAGCACAGGAATCTTACTGTAATCCTTTGACAGCTGAAAGCAGCTTGCAAATTGATCTGACAAAAGTCCCTCCTTTGCACTATTACAGGCTCTGTCGTCTGCAATAGCTAACCAGCAGTCCCTAGCCTGTCTCCATATTATGTACACTACACACATGCACACCCCTCAGCACTCATTTGGCACATGGTCCAGAAAATGTCAGCATTGTAATGGGTAAGCTGCTATTGCAGCCAGAGTAGACCACTCACTTAAAGGAGCTTTTTGTTGAGGTAATGAAAAGGCTGAAAAACTATTTGCTAGCAGTCATCTCCCTGGGCTCTCAGCATCTCACCATCTGCAGGAATTAGCAGTTTACCATTTGCTATGTACAAGCAACATTTTCCTTCCTCCTTCTTTTTTTACTTTTGGACACTGTCATGACAGGTTGTGCAGAGAGCATGTGTAGGTGTGCAAGGATCTGAACTTGTGTTTTTTCCACCTGGGCCTCTGCAGGGTGTTTTCACACAGGCCAAGATGCACATGGCCTGAAGCACTGAGAGTCTAAAGAATGGGCAAACCTCTATAAGAGGAATAAAGTAAGGGGTCCCCCTGACAGAAGTGAGTGCAAATTAAAGCAGGAATTTTTCTTGACATTCAGTTCTGCTAAGAAATGAGAGCAGAAAAAAAAAATTCTCTCTCACCCCCTGCAGTTCTGGCTCATCAGTAAATTTTTGCATACAAGAGAAGCTAATCAAACAAACCTCAAGACAGCATAAGAAGTTCACGCAGCACAGCATTTCTCAGGCAGGCAAACCAGGATCAGATCCTCTGTCTCCCCATCTCTCTATAGACAGGGGTATTTTCAGTGATAGGAATCACAGAATCATAGAATGTGGCTAGGGTTAAAAGGAACCTTAAAGATCATCTAGTTCCAACTCTCCTGCTAGGAGCAGGGATGCCATTCACTAGATCAGGCAGCTCAGGATCCCATCCAACCTGGCCTTGAGCACTTCCAGGGATGGAGCATTCAAAACTTCTCTGGGTAACAATCATACCAACCAATGCACCCAAACACAGAGTCTGAAGTTTACACAGGCACAGAAAATTGGCTTGAGCTGAGAGGGCAACTCTCCAAGAGTTTGATATTGGGACCAGACCTCTAAGCTATAGAGCATCCTGTGTCCTCTTCTGCATCAAGCAGTTCCTGCCCCTTTGTCTGGCTTCAGTGAAGAAGGGAAGGGAGAAGGGAAACAAAACCAGTCTGTCTTCTTGAGATCAGAAACAGAGTCTCAAAGAAAAAGCCAAAGAGCAAAGGATTTTTGCAGAGGATTTCTGGAGAGGAGGGGAGAAGTGCAAGGATAGGCAGTAAAGCAGAGGGAGAGGGGGATGGGGAATCAAGGAAGCAAGGTTATTCTATTTTAGTGTGATTTCCTAAGGAAATGAGCCTTAATGTAATCCATTTAGCTGGCTTCCCTCCCCCTACCCCACAATATAATATTTGAACCAATTGGTCAATTTCCTTTGAATGTGAAATGGAGGCAATAGGAAATTTTAACATGACTCATGAAAATGAGGAGCTGCATAGAAGAGAGCCCTGCTGAGAGCACAGTTGCTAAGCAGAAAGGTCTGGGGTCTGAAGTCAGGAGCCAGAAGGATAACAATTAGGAGACATACAAGGCAGATCTGGGAAAAAAAAATCTCATTTCCTTCGCTAACCTGTTCAGGAACAACTTTATGCTACTCATAGAACATTAGGCTGATCCAGAGTCACCAGCTATTTCTGCAGAATTACTGGTGTCCACCACACCCTCATGGTGCAGAGGGACCCACTGTAGCTTATATTTTCAAGCTGTTCCCACTGAGGGGAGCAATGGTTGACCTTGCCAGTCACCTTGTCAGTGAAGGCCCCTCACTCTGCTCCTTAGAAGGAAGAAACAGAGCACAGGCAGGTGGGATAGCATTTTTAAGAGCTGCACTGACACCAATGCCCAGCACATGCTCCTAGCAGCAAAAGCATAGGCAAACAGCAAATTATGCTTGTCACTGTTAAGAAGGAAAAGCAGAATATAAAACAAGGAGAAGTGGGAAATGAAACATATCCCAGGCAGAAAATGAGGAATGAAGTCCAGCTAAGTGAGACGCCATCATTAGGTAAGGGACCTTAGTATACCATGAGTGAGCGCTGTTCTGCCTAGTCCATGCAGGCAGTGTAAGGGAGCAAATCAGTCCACCAACAATTGGGCACTTGTGTCCTCTTTTGTGACTCAGGGAGCATCAAGCTGCTGAAAAGCCCCACTAAACAGAAAGGATCTTGTCCTGGTCAAGACAGGTTCCTTTATGGAACATTCAGTGTTGAGCCCATTCTTCCCCCTGAGTATCTCCAGGCATCCTGATTTCTCTCCTGAAAATTCTAATCCCAGAAATATTTTCAAAGGGCATACAGGTAATAAATACTCTCAGGACATACCCAGCCTTTTCCAGTTCACAACTGAACTGGAGGTCATCTTAAAAAAAAAAACCCACAGAATAAACCCCATAGTAAAGCAAGTACTGTGAGGAAAATCCCCTATCTCCTCAACAATATTCTTGGCCTCTTAAGAGTTCCAAGGTGAGACAAGAAGGCAGAGACAGGATCCTGTTCCTCTAACCTGGAAGTTCTCTGTCCTTGAAGGGATCATCAACCTCTGTGCTCTTTGATCTGGCATCGCTCTCACACACTGGGGTCTCATACCTGAAAAAGGAGAACAGCAAAAGCTAAACTATGTAACAGGTTTAGTATCATCACATGGTCTCTAATTACAGACTGTTCTGAGCTGGAAGGGACCAGCAAGGAACATCAAGTCCAGCTCTTAAGTGAGTGGCTCATATAGGGATCAAATCCACAACCAGGCCATGGTTACTATGCTTTGACCAGCTGAGCTGATCTCAGGGTCAATGGGTTGTGCCTTGTCTGCTTACTGCAGGGGAACCCAATAAACCTCCAGAAGAAATACCACTCTCAGGCATCTGTTTGTGGACAGTCAGCAACAGCAGCAGAAATGGAAAGATAAGGAAGAACACACTTTGAAGTCCAGTACCAGCTATCAACTGAAACCCACAAACAGCACAGGGCCCTCTTCCACTTCTTGTGGACATAGGCTGAGATTTTTTTTCTAAGCTGTTCACGCTTTGCAGAATCACTGTATCTAGCCGAGTTTAAGTCCCAGCTCTTACTGGCCTGTTTTTGCAACTTGCCAGACCCACAATTTGTTTCCAAACTCTAACTGAGAACAGATTCTTCAGGTACTTTCAAAATAGAGAGTAACTGGGGGAAAAAAAAAATTTAAAAAAAAAATTATCTCTGGTTTAAAGTCTACCCATGAACAACAAGCAGTCTTCTATTCCCTACTGGTCAGGATTCAAGAGGCTGCAACATGGAAATATAAAGCAGATGACTATGAAACAGACTTGTCTTTTCACTGCTCATGCCCATAATCTGTACTCTTGAGCAAAGCCACTGTTCCTCCTACCTCAGAAAAGCAAACCAGCAGAAAAAAAGGCTGCTTTGCATAAATACTTAACACAGAGAGAAGTATGGACAGCAGTTAATGTCCACCAGCTCCTATAGAGAGGGAGCTGCAAAGTAACACTCAACAGGGAACATCACCTACAGCATTGCTTGCTCTAGGGAAAGCAGTGTAGAGCTGACTGCTCTAGAGTGAAGAACTGATTTCCCATTGCAGTAGTATTTCCTATATCTCATCTCCTCCAGCCAGGCACCTTCCCAGGCCTGCCTATAGCTCTCACCGAGTGGAAGTACCGGGCAGGGGACGTCCTGTGTCCACCAGGACACACCAGCAGTACCCAGTTGACTGGTGGCATTGCACTGGTTTGTAGAGTCCTCCAGGAGCACACTCGGGGATGACGATACCCTCCCGCGGGTTCTGCCGGGCCTCCTCCAGGGCACTCTGCCTCTCCTGGTCACAGGAGTGAACTTTTTCTGGAAGACAGAAGGGAGGTTGGAGGGGGTGGAAAAAGAATCAAATCAAGATCACTTTCCTCAGGTCAGCAGGATATGGGTATCCTTCACATCAGAAACACTTTGTGTCTGTTTCCTTCTCATCAAGCATCAGTATGTCTGCATCCTCAGGGACCGACGGACTTCTGGGTTGAGAGCTTTCTCCTACATTTAGCTGTGACACAACAAGATTATGGACTATAGACACTGACTGCCAGCTGCTCAGGATGCCAGAAACAGCAGAAACTCTTCTTAATCATTTGGGTTTTGGAAATGAACTATCAGGTAAAAACAATTCACTCTCAATGCAGCCATGAGGTAAGAATTTCCCAGATTATGTTTTTGCAAGCTGCGAGATCCTAAACTGTGACTTGTATTTTCCAGTTAACAAAGGAGGCAAACACCCTGCCCTGCCGTTCCATCTCTTTCTCCAGACAGCAAAACACTTCTCCTCCTCAACAGCACCTCTCCAACATGATCCCAAGAGGAGCAGGTTATGTTTGAACACAGGCTTATCCAGTGCAGACAGCATCTGCACACACCTCAGCAGGGAACAGAACAGGATATCCCATTCGACCCCCACTGCCATCACCTCTCCAGCACTCTCCACTGTTGTCCTCACCTGGAAAACAAAGGGCACCCAACACTGCTTATACTGAGTGGCAGGTAAGGCCCTGTTCCTTAATAACCTATAACACAGGAAAGGCTATTTCCAAAGATACTGTCAAAGAGAACAGTAGTGGCATGCACCAAAGATCAGGAAGAAGCCCAGAAGTGGCTTCTGCAGCCAGCCTGGCACACAGAGCCCTAGCACTGCCCATGCACCCAGCATTCCTTTGCATGTGTGACAAGAAACTCCATCAGGTCTGCACAGCATCACCCGAGTACAGCATGCCTGGGTACCAGAAGCGTTTTTACTGGTTTCTAATTGAACTGGTGCAGCTGGAAGAGTCTCAGAGATCCCAACAAGTCTCACTCCCCTCAACATTTCACATCACTGTCAAGGCTGGGAATGTGAAGGGCACCTGAACTTTGCCACATACAAACCCATACAATAGAAACACAGAATAAAAACTTTTAAGTGTCAGTAAGTCTGACTCAAACAGAGAGAAACTTGACTGGGAAGGAGCAGGAGGGCATAAAGTCAACAAAAACTGAAAGGAAACTCAAGCCTCAGCTGATATTTAAGCTGACTTCACTTTGCTGACGGATTTCACATCTGAGAAAAAAAAAGAAAAAGGAAAAAGGATTAAAAAAAAGAAAAAAGGAAAAGAAAAAGGAAAAAAAACAAAACAAAAGACTGTTCCCAAGATGTACTAGGACAGAGAAGTCATTGAGCCAGAAGCCTGCAGGCTCCCTAACAAACCACTTACATCAAAGGGCCCCACTTACACACAGTCTGCTGACAGCAATTCACCTCTTGGCCATCAGGTGAGACAAAGCACTCAGGCAGCTTGGGGAAAGCAAAAAAGCAGGGGCAAAATTCTCTATCATCATTATATTATAAGCAAAAGGAAGAAAAACTTCAGCTAGAAAGAACTACATTCCAAGAATTTTTCTATCTAAATCCCAAAAGCTTCCTGAGTGCACAAAGTCAAACCAAGATTTCTCAAGCCCTTTGAGTCTTGCAAAACTCTCAGTAAAATTACATTGAAAAAAATAAAGTGTGTTTTCTTTTTGTGTTAGAACAAAGAAATATGCCACTTTTATTGAAACCAAGATAAAAAAATGTATTTCTTTAATGAATTCGTATCTTATTTTACATACATTTGCAGTTAGGTACATAAATTACACAGAATAAATCTACATATTTATAGATTTGTGCTATGCCATAAAAAAATGGAAAAAAATCTCTGCACATATTAATAGAAATTTGTGGGAACTGAATAGTCACATTTACTACCAGAATATGTAACTAATTGGTAGTTATTTCTGTTTGAAAGCTGTTTAAGGGCTGAATGAAACAAATCTTGCAGGCTTTGTTCAGTTGATATCAGATATATGTAGTGATGCAAACTCTGCCTTTGTCACTAGCATTCAGTAGCCCATCATTAGCAATGACAGCAGTACAACTGAAACATCAGGGAGATCATACTTCACTTAATTCTAATGTATATCTAGAAGTAGCTACCATGGAAGCTCTTTCCTGCTTTACAGATTCCTACTTTGTCTCATTTACATGCTGAAGAGTCCCACATGGCACAGCTCTTCTCTGAACCCCTTCCAGATCCACCATGCCCTCCCTGAGCTGGAGGAGATCCGAACAGCAAACACATTGACTCTGACAACAGCCTTGTGGAAATTTCCTTCAGTGACATCTGTCTACAAAGCAGAACGTATTAACTAGCACCAGTCCCCGAAGAGACTCTTTCCTCCAGGCTACCACTCTAACAGCACTTAATTCCCTTAAAAAATAAACATCCATATTAACACTTGGGTATTCAAAAGGCAGCAAAATCAGCTGGGAAATCCATACCGTCAGCTTCACTAGTCTGGGACTCGGCGTGAGCTGCATGCAATGTCACCCTGAAAGATTGTCTCATGGGTAACAAGAGACCATCAAATGCTGTCCCAGCTCCAGGACACTCAAGTCCTCCTGCTCCAGTCAAATTGCTTACTGGAAACTCTGCTGCTGTTGCCAAGGCCAGGTTAGTGGAGAATAGTGAAAGCCTATGGCAAAGCTAGAAACTTTAATGCCAGGTACGAAATTAAGCTGTCATCTTAGAAACCAGCATATATTTATTATACATGCAGGGTACTTAAAAGCCTATTCCCTGTTAATGGGAGTTGCAGGCACACAAAGAAAGGTTTTCCTTCTTTCCCTAAACTAAACATTTCTTAGAGAGAGAAAATTTAAGACAGCAAGTCGGTGGGACACAAACAGCCTTCCTAGGACAAATAATAATATTATACCCATTTATTTATTTATTTTAAAGGCACTGTCACATTCTACTGTTCTCTGCCATCTCTGCTTTGACTTGACCATCAGCAAAGACACCAAGTAACACTTGCCAGCTTACTGCCGCTGGGGAGTGAAACCTCAATCAGACAGCAAATCTAGATTACAAAAAAACAAATTTCAGAAAAACACAATAGGAAATGTATATCACACAAAGAGAAGAGTCACTGGCAGAAATATCCATTTAACCTCAATTGCTCAGCTCTAAAATGCTAACTGTTCCCTACTCTTGACTACTTCTACCACTCATTAAAACATATTTTTAAAGTAGTGTCTCTGAAGCCATGAGCTATGGCAGGAAAACAGGGCTTGGACATCTGCAGTTGCACATTATTAATGCAATAATTCTCCCCTAGCAATGGCCTTCAGAGAAATACATGGTCATATTCCTAAAAAGGTCTCTCATTCCTGGTCCCTTAAGTACATATATTCAAACATACATTTAGTGCCTGCACAATAAAAATAAAAATGATGGATGAATTAAGGGACTCATCTGACTGTCTAATAAACTATATGGTTATTAAAGAGATGGGATGCTTGTTTACCCCACAAAGCTGAGAAGAGAGGGTGTCTAGTAGCATCTAGCCAAAGGTTTGTGCTTAACAGTTCCCATGCTCATCTTGCAGGGCTATGTGCAGCCACTGAGGATGGGGCAGCCTCCCCCAGCTGCTCTCCTGACACACAACAACTCTCACTGCCACCAGAGCCAAAGCACCAAGCATCATTCACCGTGGCTGTGAAGGTGCTGTGGGGATAATTATGGTGGGATATAGGGAACATCTGCCATCCAGCCACAGCAGATTATTTTCTGAACTTTGCTCTTCTGCATCCAAATCTTTTTCTTTTTAAAAGAGGGAGACTGTGGCACCAGAACCACCTTGGAGAGATTCCTACACTCTTAAGAGACAGGATTCTTTCTTCCAAATCAGGCAAAAGAGAGGGTCTAACCTCCCTCTATAAGCTTCTGCCCAGCCCCAATGAACCCATGTGAATAGCCTAACCCCAGAGCTACAGGCTGTACCAGGGAGGGCAGATTTCCTTCTCTTTTCCTCTCTCTCCCTCATTTCCTTTGACCAGAAATTCTGTCTGGACCAGCAAAACTTTTCCCATGGAATTCCCACAAAAAGCTTCAGTTTTAATGAACAAGCATTCATCACAAGGGGGGAAAAAGGTCTTTTACTGAAGAATTCTTGACCAATCCCCATTGTTAGCACTGCAACAGGGACCTAATTTTAAAGTAAATAAATAAATAATAAAAACCCCCCAAACACATCTCCCCCAAATTTTTTTTGTTCATCTCCCAACTTTCCTCTCAGTGAGGCATTAGTGCAGCACAAAACAAAGGGGAGCAGCATGGATATTTAGTGCCAAGTTCCCACTGACGTCCTGTGCCAACCCAAACAGGAGAACCAAGTGTCTTTGTGCCTCAGTTTTCCTTTCAGTGAGGAAAAGTGTTTGCCTGTCTCCCAGGGGAGCTTAATTCAGACAGGGTCAATTTCTCATGTGTCTTCACACTGCTGTGGCAGAGAACAAGAGTTTCGAACTGGTTATTTTACCACAGAATGTATGTAAGCTTAAAGCTGCTTTTATGCTGTATATAAGGAAGCTCTAATGTGAACAGGAGCCAGGTCGACTCCAGGAGAACAGGTACCTCATCCCAGGACAAAAGCTGTGGGCAGAAAGCAAGTTCAGTACAGGTTACACCAGCAGCCTAAATCTGCATCCTTTCCTCCATGGAGGGGAAGGAGCATTTGAAAAGCCTTAAGTACGCACATGCACAAGTGCTGGCAGGAGCAGCAAGGCAATGCAGTAAATAGGCCCTTATTGCCTGTCCCCTGAGCAGGGCTGTGGGTGGAGGGAGAGAAACAACCCCTTCTGTGTTTACTGGGAGCACAATAACAGCTGAGCAAATACGGCTCATGGGGATAGCATAAATCTCTCCACACCTCTGTTAGTCATCAGTACTGATACCCACTCCACCCTGTTCTGTCTGGGATCATGGTCCCTCCAGAGTTTTCTGGCT